TGAGACCTTTAAGAAATTGGAAATATTTAAAAATTGAGAAGGACAATTTATTTGTTGTCTCAAAGGTTAGTCTTTCTTATTGAATGAGCAGTTACATACTTTATTTTGTTTTACTCCAGATACTTTTAAATTTCTATTCTCCTGCTGTAGAGAATCTGAGATCACCAGGCATCAGTGGGGTTTGGATTCTTTGTCTATAGATCTATTGACAAGTAGGTAGGTTTATGTGGCAGTGTTTTGTTTATTTTTCTAGATATATTATTCTTATTACTCCACATAATGAAAAACATGTGGCGTTAAACACTTCGAATCTGAAAACATTCATTGTGTATCCCTGTGCAAGGAGTATTGACCAGTCGACAGCACCGTTTGGGAATCTATTTTAAGTGACTTTAATACTTTTGGGGAGAGGTGTGATAAAAAATAAAACTTACATACTCTGTCTTTTCCTTTTTGCTGACATTTCTTACAGAAAAATAAACATTTGAGCTTAATACAAAATATAGTAGTTCAGGTGGGTAGCTGCGTCAGCATGCATAGGCTGCAAAGGAACAAGTAATAGGTTTGTTGCATGCTGAAAAGAGAAGAAAGAAAACACAACGTTTCGGCCGTGGAGCCTTCTTCAGGTGTCACACCTGAAAAGTAAACATTTTCATTAATTGGAAGTTTCATAGTGGAGAAAGGTGTGAAATATTTCTCTTGAGAAGATGGCTATATGGGAAATGTATGCTTCTTCAGTCCTGCATACCTTCAGTCACTAAGCCTCTCTCTCTCAGTTCAAATGCACAGAGCTTGATTGTCATGGCTGATGAATTAGTGCTGCCAGAGCAATACCAACTAGCAACACATTTACTGACATTGATCCTGACAGAAACATTGACACAATGTAAACAGTATTTTTACTCTGCACTGGTTACTTCTTTTCCTAACTAGTTTGAAGAACTTTTTTAATTAAATAATAATAATACTTTGCTTACACTTATATAGCGCTTTTCTGGACACTCCACTCAAAGCGCTTTACAGGTAATGGGGACTCCCTTCCACCACCACCAGTTTTCAGCCCCAGCTGGGTGATGCAACGGCTGTCATAGTGCACCAGTACTCTCACCACACACCAGCTAATATTGAGAAGAGAATGTTTAAGAGCTTTAACTTAAACATCCTGAAACAAATTATTTTTAATCATTACAATCTTGTGTATTTGATACAACTTCCTTTTGATTTTGGAGTCCTTTTCATTTTTAGTAGTATGTTTTAGAAGCATCTATGATGTATAATGCACATACAGTATTTTAATTAACTTTTTATTCTGTCCTTTTCAGTGTTTGATTGTGTTGCAATCAGAATCGTTCTTTTAGAAAACCATTAAAAAGTCTTTTGTGAAAAATTCCCTATCATCAAATGTAAAAAGTACATCCATCCACAACGGGTATTTCTGATTTATTACGATCTAATTCAGGAAAGAAGAAGATGTACAGATCATAAGTAAAGTGGATGCATCTTCACAATTTGTAATGCATATACCTTAAAGAATTCATAAAAGGCAGTAGTCAATGAGGTTTGGATCCAGGGCCTGTGAATAGTAAAATATGTGTGTGAGGGTTTTCATTCATATTTCAAGGATTGTAATGTTTGTAATGATTAGAAACAATAAACCATTGCAGAGTGGGTAGGCATCACTGTCAGTTTAATGCACAAAAGCTTGACAGTGCTTTAATGCCGCCCACTACTGTAAGCTGTCTACCCCTATAGAGGTCACGCGACCTTATTGCCCTTATGCTGCCTCTTTCAACTGAGAGCCCAGAAGATGAGAAGATGGCATGAGATCACAGAGCTGCTGTAGGAGCTTCCCGCTGTGCATGCTGCTTCCCTGCCGCGTGCCTGTTCCATATCTGGGGAAAACGTGTGGTGTGGAGGGAAATGCAGTGGATCCAAGGGAAGATGGGGATGCTTGCCTTGCTACTTTCAAAGGGGAGTGCTAAACTGGAAAAATGAGATGCGAGGATGCCGTGTAAGAGTACAAAAGCTCAGCAGGGACTGATGTTGGTGGATAAGACTGCCAGGAAGTTTCTTATGTGAGGTGGAGGTGCGGCAGGAGGAAAACTGGCCGCCCGGTGTTGCGAAGTGATCAGTGCTGTACAGCTCCTCAGGCTGCGTGTTTTCCCTTCTCTTCTGCAGGGGAGGCCTGGCGGAGCGGCTTCACCAGCTGCTGAGCAGACAGAGGTCTGCTGTCAGTTTCTGGAGGCATCACTTACCCTCAGGCAGTGAAACCTCAGCAGGTAAGCGGTGCACCGATTTACTGTCCCCATTCAGTGTCTCCAGCTGGTACAGGAACTGTATCTGCTCGGTGTGCGGCTTAATTAAGTTAAGTTAAGATAATTAAGTACCTGCCTGGGATCCCAGTGGGGCTGGCAAGAGCAGTGGTGCAAGGAAAATCTCTAAGTGCTAACAAGCTAGCCTGAGGGATCTGAGGAGCCTGGAGTGATGAAGTTAGATTAGAGCGCAGGAAAAGGCACGCTATCACTGCAGAGACCAGCAGAGTTACCCACCACCTTCCACACAGAGAAATCAGAAGCACCTGTAGGCCGCTTAGTTGAGCTTACTCGCGTGTAAGATCTCACAGAGAGCACCTGCTTTTCATCCAGTGTTGTTGACCAGAAAATGTGCAGGTGCAGCACAAGTTTAAAAGGTACTTACTGTTCAAGGTAGGATACAAGTTTCAGGCTGCAGGTACGTTCCTGAAGCCGATGGTTATTGTGTCAGATTGCAGTTATATACCTCTGGCCAAACAGTATCCACCGTTGAGGACCACGTTAAGGGACATGGGGTTGGTTCTCCTTGAGCTGGAGTAAGTCCCTTCTAACATAAAAAAACAACAAAACTACGAATTTATGTACACAGGTCCTTCTAGTTACACTACCCCAGGGAAGGATCTGTCACACTTCCTGCTTGATTATGAAAATGATCAAAGTGTGTGGGTGAGGTTTTCACTTTGTAATAGCTGAAACTGGGCAAACATGCACTGTCAAGATGAGCATTAGAATGGTGACAAAACAGGAGGCCACCAGTTCCCTTACCTGCACAGCATCAGTTTTATATCAGATCTTAATTCAACCTCTTCATATATTGTCCGAGTTTCATTTTTAGGAAGTGCTGTATTTTTAGTTCCTCGGGTTCCAAGCCAGCAAGTTCCTTATGAGGGCCCCATTATAGGATCTTGGCTCTTCTTGCACAGTAAATAAATTGTTTTTAACAGTACCTTCAAAAATCTGAACCTGAATTGTGTTTGCTCATTCTGTTAGCCACACATGGTAAGGCCCAGTCTTTTTATAAAACTGTTTTTTGAGGTTTTTGATTGTTACTGTCTCAAGTCGAATCTGGGGATTATTTAAAAAGATCCAGGCTTTCCTTTGGCTTTTGAGATGGTCTTATTATTTTTCAATCAGGTTTAAAACAACTCTTGTGGCCATGCCCTTTATTATACCGTCCTTGGTGAAAATATAGAAGTGATAACATTTGCAAAGTTACTTATAAGTGATTGGCAGCAGGTCAGTGCTTACCTCCAAATCCTAATTTCAATTTGCCTGTTGAACCTAACTAGAGGTTAAGGATTGTTGTCTAACAATCCATCATAATTTTCAGGAAAAAAGGAAGTTAGTGGATTTTTTTGGGGCAACAAAAATTGCCCTTAAAATTGTCTTGTTTTTCTCACCTGAAAACTAAATATTAATATAATTCTATAATTCCATGCACAAGGATAATTAGTCAAAAAACCCACCATCATTTTCTGGTCCTGTCTCACTTAGTCTAGACATTCCTGACAGATGTTCAGTCTTTCGGTAAACAGCAAGAAAAGTAATAGAGGCATAGCAGATGACTGGATTTCAGACTGCATAGTCTCAATAAAATGTCTGGACTTGTTGGGTAAATCGCAACAGTAAAACACGATGAAAAGCTATTTTGAAATTACAGAAAGAAAATTAATTTCACTTTTATAGCAATCAGGAGATAAAATGAAAATTTTTCTTTTTAGGAGAAAAGGTATATCTGAACTTATTTTTACAACTTTCCGATAAAAGGAAACCAAAGAGGATTCTTTACAAAGCTTTTTGAGTGTGCCTTTTAACAGCTGCAAGTCATTGGAGCCAGATTTAGAGTATTCAATGGGGATCTTTCCCAAATATAGCCTGTAAGGGGAACATTTTAATGGTCTCCCCTGGACAAAGTTTGGAATCTCAGTTTTGCATTCTTCTGTCAGAAAGATATTGACATAAATTGCATATTCCTATGCTGTCATTTAGAAAAAATGTCAGATTTATTTCGATTGGTTTTCTTTTCATAATTGGGGGTTGTTAAGTCATATTTGTAGTATGGATCTCACTACAAGTCTCCCCTTTTCTGTCTGTTAGATGATTTTTGTGGCAGAGATCCTTGGTCCAGTTCTGTTCCTGTGAAGGCAAGACTAGTTGTATACGTACACAAGAGGAACAGCTGGAATTTCTGTCACATGAAAATCCTGCTGTGTTAAGAACCTGTTTTTCGTCAATTTAAATACATTTTAAAGCAAATTCCAAGGGGCTTCAAAGTGCCAGGGTTTGGAGGCTGTTCTCTGCTGCCCCGATATTGATGACCAGACCCCCGAAACTCAGTGATGTGAGGGCTGCCTCCCACTGTGGGTAAACTGGGTGGACCCTGAAAATCCCAACCTTTCCGAGGCTGAGGATGAGGGGATATGGATCCTCAGGTTTATATGAGGGTTATATTTCGAGGGCCTTGCAAAAATACTCAGCCCCTGCCAATAAATCGCTTTTTAATGAATTGCTAGTTTATATGTGTACATTTTTCAAATTAACTTTTTTTCCATTCAGAACTCGCTAATGATCATACTGAGCGCTGTTGTAGTGAAGGTGGTTCACTGCCCTGGGGATGAGAAGCGTCCCCGAAGCATGTTGTAGCACCGTGTTGAAATTAGGCCGGAAAGCTCAATTTTTATTCTTGTGTCATCATAAAGTCTTCTCGCGTTTTTCTGCATGTACAGTATATGAGATTTGTTTTCAGCAAAGGCTTCTTTCTGGCTACTCAACCATAGAGGCCAGCTTTGCATAGGAACTGAGATATTGTCCATATATGAACAGCGACTCCCACCTTGAATTCATTTTTGTACTGTTCCTCACCAGCTTTCTTCTTGCCCGATCACTCTGTTTAGAGGGGTGGTTTACAGTTAGTATCTGGGTGATATGTTTCACATTTCTCTTTTTAAAGATGGACATAGGTTCAAGGTACAGTAATGTTTTCCTTATCTTTAAACTGGCCTCCCTGCCAGTTTAACTCTGATTGGATTTGAAAGCTTCTTGATCTTCATGGTCAATATGTCATATTATTATGTGAGATGAGGCTCAAAATTCAATACCAGTCTAAGAGAACATGCAGAGACAGATGCATTTACATTGATTACACACATATAGGGATCATTACACTAATTTTGTGGACTTTCAAACTATTCTTTCACAGCTTAATGTCATTTTTGGTTGCCATAGCAAAGGTATGGAATATTTATGCAATTAATTTTCCTTTGAAATTGAATTTATGTATACTCTTTTTGGCATTTTTACCTATGCCAGTTTTATTTAGCTAAATATGAAGTCCAATTTTGTTGGAGCCATGATTGCATATCCTGACTGTGACAGAATGTGGAATCTTTGCAGGGTATTGAATACTTTTACAAAGCACAGTATATGCAGTGACTGTGGCTTGTTCTTTGTTAAAAAGAATATTTTAGTGTTTTTTGAATGTGTATGTTGAGGGGAGTCATTGTGGTCAGTCATTTTTATCACGAGATATTGTAAAGACTCTAAAATCTTATCACATATTGAGATATGAGAAATGAAAAGAAAACGGATGTGTGGACAGAAGTGTTACATCCTTTGCTGCTGGTAGTGATTTTGAAGTTGGTGGCCTACTGCAATATTGAGTGAAATGAAAATACATTTAAATTCAAACGACAAACACACGGACCAACTCTAATGATTTTTGTTTGGGTCTAAGTAACTTTAGAAGGGCCAGAGAGAGGAAAAGGGTAATGTATTACCCTTCTACTGCATTAGTTGTCCAGAAAGCTTTTTTTCCAGCAGTGGAAGTTTAGTCTGTTACTCTGTCTTGCGATTTGGAAACAAATTCTCGTAACTCTAGTTTTTCTTTCTGCACTGATTCGCTTCAGTCTTTTAAGTGTGAGACTTGCTTTCAGAATTCTGTGGTCTGTTGTGGTGGAAGGAGTGCATTCAGGAAATGCAGACTGTTTGTTGATCAAGCTCAACTTGAATTAGTGCTTCTGTTTACCAAGAGAGGAAAGTGAACGCATCTGTAGGCGACAGGAAGCTTTCTGCTTGCGTGGGTAAGTTTTCCATCTTTTAACTAAATAGCAGTCTCATTTTACAACAGACTGGTGCGTACATGATCAGACAAGAGTTCTGCAAATGGCTATTTCTTATTTTGAGTTCTCTTTGTAAAACGTTGCAAGCAGTTGAACCATTAGAATAGCTTCAGCTGGTACTGAAAACTTCAAAATAAGAAGTACTGATACAGGTTGGTGGAAACTGAAGAAACGGCAAGACATGCTTAACCCACTTTTTCCACAGATAACTGTTTCATACCTTTATCATAAGCGCTTATTCTTTGAGTCTCAAAATGGTATTTGTACTGCCGTTTAAGATTAATATACCATCTTGCACATATTTGACAAACAGTCACAAGAAAACAAGTACATTTTTTCTTTGAAAATGAGGGCTTTTGAAAAATGAAATCCTGCTGTACAAGCATAATTTTCCTCCCCACTTCATGGTAAATATAATTAAAATATAGAAAGTAGTTATCAGTGGGATGCTTTTCTGTCACGTGTATTATTGAACATGCCAGTTCCATTCTCTTTTTCTAGTTTGTAGTTTTTCACATAGCACAAGTACTCTGTGGAAGAGAAAGGGCTTGGGAAGTATTACACCGATGTTGAAGTCCATTCCAAGGAAACTGAATGAGATTGCATTGCTTTGAAGTTACTGTATTGACGACTTGATAGAATATTGCTGTCCTGACTGAAACAATGATTATGATGTACTATAGTGTGCTAGTGTACTAGTTGTAAGTCTTAGTTCACAATTGACAGTCTTGGTTTTCCATACATGATGATAATCAATTAAAGAAGCTGTTTAGGTAATTGTATTTTTTCAGTTTCCAATCAATTAATGATTCTAGGAAACTGAAAAAATACAGAATCATTAAATATTTTATCCTGTCTCCACCCGCTTTGGAGTCAGTCTTAGCGTGCAGCTGTGTGTGCACCATTCTTCTTCTAATGTCACTGGCTAAGCTGCCCCCCGTACTGCAGGTTCAGTGCTGATTTGATAAGAAATCCTGTTGGCACCTGGGAGGCCTCAGTGCTTTCTGAAGGTTAAGGGAGTGCTGTCTGAGTGATCTAGATAGATAGATAATACTTTATTCATCCGTAGGGAAATTGATGTGTTACAGCAGTCCAGCCCAAGACAAGCAAAACAGACATCAGAATAGTTATAAAACAAAAGACAAACAAGATAAATAAAAATAAATACATAGGTGTGTGCAAAATGTGCTGATCATAGTCACTGTAAAAACAATAAAATATGTGCAAAATGTGCATAGGTTTATACAGACTGATTGTCCAAAAAGTAGAATGGAGTAAACATGCTGTCCATAGAGGAGCAAATGAAGGGCTAACAGTCCTAGCCTAGGGCAGTGTTATACTCCCTGACAGCCGCCGGGAGGAAAGACCTGCGGAAACGTTTCCTTGAACACCGTAGCTGGAGCAGTCTATTGCTAAATTTGCTCCGCTGCCCCGTAACAGTCCCATGAAGCGGATGAGAGTTGTTGTTCATGATTGCTGTGAGCTTCGTCAGCATTCTCCTCTCAGCCACCACCTCCATGGGGTCAAGGCTCATCCCCAGCACAGTGCCAGCCATCTCGATGAGTTTATCTCACCCTTCCCTCTGCAGTGTGTAGCTATGTCATTGACCCAGGGCAGCACAGTGGTGCAGTGGTGAGCATTGCTGCCTTCTCGGTGCTGGGGTCTTGGGTTCAGTTCTGGACCTTGAGTGCTATCCGTGTGAAGTTTGTATGTTCTCCCCCTTTTCTTGTTGGGTTACCCTTGGTGCACTGGTTTACTCCCACAGTCCGAAGACATACTGGTAGGTTAAATGGCCTTGGAGTGAGCGTGTGCATGTGTGTGCCCGGTGAAGGACTGGCGTCCAGTCCAGGGTGTGACCCGCCCACTGCGTGCCGGGAGAGGCTCATCCAGTGACCGTGAATTGGATTAAGCTGTTAGAAAATGGATCAATGTATGGGATTCTAACTGGACCCAGACTCGAACCTATGATGACAGAGCTCAACCTGCTTGTTTGAGTCACTCGCAAGGCCCGGTGTCTTTTTGACTGTATCCTTCAGTTGCATTACTGCTGCTTAGACACTAATTGTCAGGTCAAGGGCAACAGTGTTTATTCTAAAGTCTGGAGGTCAGCAAGGTCCAGTTCACACACATACCAGCCTTTTTTTTTGCTAAGTGCTGAGTGATTGTGGGGATAGTAAAGAAAGTCAGTCGCTTGTTTCCTTTGTGTGCACCATTTTAGTGGTCTAGAAAATGTTTACAAACACTGAACCAACTCAGTTTGATAGAACCCTATAATTACTGCTGCTTTTGCCCAAACATTGTTCTACTGTTGAAGAAAAACAATGTGTTCTCAGTGTATTGCTTTTGGGCATTGTAAAATTGTCCCGACTGTGGTTTACGTCTTGGTGCCAGTACTAGCAAAGGTAAACTGATACAAACTTGCTGCTGTTTACAGTTTCTTCCCTGCAGGGTTTGAACATAATTCCTGACATGATTTAGTTTATTTTACCATCAGGGCTTTGAAACTTTTTAGTAGGTCAGGTGTAATTATAATGATGTATTTCTACAAAGTTTTTTATTCATATTCCTGAATTCCTCCATATACTATAAGAGTTTATAATGCTATTTGTTTTTCCCTCTTAGAACTATGTAACCACCTCTCTCATATTTCCCATATAGTACTACAGACATCTGTTCAAAATCCCAAGGAAATACCTGAGGAGGGACATGTTCTCCTAAAACAAATGCCATCTCTTTCTCATGGCTGTATTGGCAAGAGCTTCTGGCCGAAATGAAAATAATGCATCTAGAAAAATCCGTGCACTTGCTCTTATGCTGAAGAAATACAAATACATTGTTGAGGATATTCACCTTTTTATGGGTCGTTAAAGTCTGCTGCACGGGCTCATTGGTGGGCCTGGAAAACAGAGGTTCCAGTTGCAGAGCCAGTTAGTAAAATGGAGAAATTGTGTTTGATGACCGTGGGAGTAGAAAGGGCGCTAGGGGGGAAAGGGAAGACAAGTGAAATGCAGTAATTGGTCGGGCTGTGGGGTTTTCCTGAGGACTGTTGTTGGCTTTGGCACTGCCCTGTCAATAATACAGCTTAGCCAGCAGCCATATCACCCTGTATCTCACAACTGGCAGCCCACTGAAGCTAAGCAGGTGTGACCCTGGTCATTACCCGGATGGGAGACCTCCTGGGAAAAACTAAGGTTGCTGCTGGAAGAGGTGTTAGTGGGGCCAGCAGGGGGCGCTCACCCTGTGGTCCATGTGGGTCCTAATGCCCCAGTATAGTGACGGGGACACTATAGTGTAAACAGGCGCCGTCCTTCGGATGAGACGTAAAACTGAGGTCCTGACTCTCTGTGGTCATTAAAAACCCCAGGGCGTTTCTCGAAAAGAGTAGGGGTGTAACCCCGGCGTCCTGGTCAAATCTCCCATTGGCCCTTACCAATCATGGCCTCCTAATAATCCCCATCTATGAATTGGCTTCATTACTCTGCTCTCCTCCCCACTAAGAGCTGATGTGTGGTGAGCGTTCTGGCGCACTATGGCTGCCGTCGCATAATCCAGGTGGGGGTGCACACTGGTGGCGGTAGTGGGATTCCCCTTTACCTGTAAAGCGCTTTGAGTGGAGTGTCCAGAAAAGGGCTATATAAGTGTAAGCAATTATTAATAAATTATTAATGTTTGAAGGGCTGTCTTACGTTCCGTTATGCTTTGCAGGGACATAACCCGTGTTGTCCTGCTTCTCCAGGGACATGAACATTATCACACGTTCATGTCACTTCTGATCGTCGACTCTCGTGTGAGCATACCCACTGAACCTCGAGCCTCCGGACTTGACGCGGGCCTCTCGGTCAAGTGGCGGTGCGCTCAGTTCTGAAGCCATTCTACTTCGCATTGCCTTTTTCCCCCCTCCACAGCCTGCAGACCCGGGGTGCTGGTCCTGGAGGTGCTGACGGCGGAGGAGCAGTGTTCCGTGCAGGTTGCCCTCTGCCAGCCGTTGGAGCCGGCCGGCCCAAAGGGCGCGTCCCCGGCGCCTCCTCCCGCCGGCGGGGCCCCCCTGCGGGTCCTCTTCAGCCGGGACACGGCCGCCCGGCTGGCGCCGAGCCCCGGAGACATCGTGCACGTGTCCCCCCCGTGGTGAGTGCAGCACATCGCATTAACCGCGCCGCGGCAGTCGCTGGGATAGAGATCAGATCCACGGGGGGGCTCCTTCGGGGACGTCGATTCCAAGCGCTTTTTGTACAGCGCTTGTTTGTTTCCAGTGGCTCCCCCTGTTGTTGCTGAACGTATAATATCCCTGTGTTTATGACAGGAGACTTCTTCTTGTGTCCCTTGTTGAACCAGCCTAGTACTCCGATGAAAGTGTTTGTCATTGTAAGCTATGGGCAATTGCCAAAAACGATAATTATATTTAAAAAAAGCAGTGATCCCTTTTTTGGCAGTTGCATATATTTATAAAATGAAGTAAAGCCAATGTTGTCATCCTCATTTTTAACAGACTCAAGATGCGGCATGCTGTCTTTACTGTTTCCGCGGGGCTTAAGAAGGGGAACTGCAGTGCTATTCGTGTCGATTCCCCAGCAAAAAAAATTCTGTTTTATTTGGTTATGGGCAAAGTTTCAGTGGTTTATTAAGTCATAAAAATGTTTTATTAATTGCTTGTCATAAAAAGCCTGGTTTATAAGATGTTATTTGAATAATGAAAGTATACCAACATCCCTACATTTTAATTCTTCGTGGAAAAAAACTACTTTCACTAGAGCTCTGAATGGAGCATGACAGATTTGACACTCAACGGTGGAGAGCTGGCGTGACAAGATCAGACTTTTGTTTCTTTTTCTTCGCTGCCAAAAGCTGCTAGAAATGTTCTACTTTTGCTTTTTTTTATCCAAACACCATAAAAATCCAAGATGAACAAACTGTTTAAACAGATAAAAGTGATAACAAGGGCAAAACAGGTTTTTGGCACTTAATCTATGCAAGTTTAAAGTTGTCAGTCATTAAGTGTTTTGAGTATTTTTTACTTTTTAATGCCCTTAACAGAAACCCAAGTACCTGACAAAGAAGTTTTTGAAGATCCTTTTTTTAAGTTTTAATATGCACTCTTCAAGTGCGTTTAAGAAGTAAAATCTTGCTTGTGGACTAAAATGGAGTAAAACCAGCATTACTTTATTTTAATAAAACGTTACACCTAGATTTTGTTTTTTTTATTTCATGTAAGTCCACTTTTATTTTGTTAATATCTAAGACACACCAATAATTTTCTTGTTGAAACACTGGGTTTGGCTGAATTAGTCCATATCCGGG